CCCAGACGCTACGCCACTGGATCCTGCTGTTGGGGTTTTTATGGTTCGTAGGGCAGAAACATTAATATTCGGACATAATTTTGAAGCGGCTGGAATGTAAACAAAAGCCCTCAGCGTCCGGATCGCCTGTTAATGAGGCCGTGAAGGAATGCGGAAGAAAGACAGCGCTAGTATACGGCGACGGCCTCTACACACACACACACACAAACAAACACACTTACAGTAAGGCTGAGGCGTACGCTATCTTACACACACATCTACTGTACGAGAGCCAGCTTTTGAAAAGCTCCGGCACGTTCACTCGAGTGAGTCAGAGCTCAAGTATTGAGAGCGAAGAAGCCTGATCTGAAGAGATGAAGCCTGTGGTCAAAAGATCCTCGTTTTAGAGTAGAAATGCTTTCTTATTGAAAACATTACTTGAAAAATAAGTTCCTTACCAAATACAAAAAGTGTAGACTAGGGGAGACCGGGGGCCATTGTAACTTGCTGTAACATTTGACTTCTAAAATGTATCCAAATATTTCAAAAGGTTCATGTGTTACAATGTCGCCCCTATATATAAAATCCATCAGTGCCTTGTTTGACCAATCAGACTGAATTTGTTGATTAAGCTATTATTTTTTAGTCATTTAAAAAGTATTAAACTCGTTAATTGAGATTTATGTAATTTTGAACACTGTAAAAAAAAAAGTTGCTGCCTTAAATTTTTAAGTACAATCAACTTGGATGTTTAAGTCATTTCAACTTCAATTAGGCTGTTAAACGGACTGATTAGCTAAATGTCTGGTATTTGTTGATTTAAGGGTATTTTTATATTCACACGAATAATTTATATGTTAATACTTTCTAACTTATTAAAAATACATATTTTTTTAAATCATTACGTAAAAATGGTATTTGTTGATTTGGTGTTTTTTATATTCACCCCAAAAAATAATATATTGTTTTGTGTACTTTTAATAATTTAAACTCATTTAGGGAAATGTATGGAATTGTACATTAAGCTAATCACTTAGTGAAATTTCGTGATTTTCTTTTTTAAATTTAATTATTTAAATTATTAAATATACCCAAGTAATTAATATCGTATTTTTAAAAGTGCATATTTTGAATAATTTTAAGTCATAAACTAATGAAGTGAATTTGTTGATGATGAATCCGTTCACACACACACACACACTATTTGCTGAACTTGTCTTCGGCTCCTTTTGTTTTCAGGAGTTTTTACGGGAAGTGTGTGTGGAAAGACGTGATTTGTGTGCCAGACCTCAGTGACAACATTTATTCAGACACCTTCAACATTTTTCACATTATCACAGTGTATTCGCTATAGTTTTGTATAGAAAATGGTAATAAAATATGACAAGATCTCAGAGTTATTAAATCAGTTGATATTCCACTGGTTTTGTCTGTCCTTTGTTAGACTCTCACACATGAATTATGTTGAATATCTGTCAGCTGTTTAATTTAACTACACAATTAGATAATACCAGTTTAGCTCAACCAGTGACCAAGCAATGCTTCATGTTGTTCAGTCTGTGTGTAAAAAGAGCATTAGCAAATAAAGAAAACACACTTCAGCAAATCATGGTCAGCTCAAAGTGTCCTCTCCTCAAACTCCTCAAGTTTTGCTCTCCTCACTTAAATGAACTATATTGTCCTGCACACACTAGTAAAACAATATACCTGGAATCTGAATCATTTTTGGTTTGACTGCATGTTTACCCATCTTGAGCCCATCGCCTTGAGACGAGAGAGAGAGAGAGAGAGAGAGAGAGAGAGAGAGAGAGAGAGAGAGAGAGAGAGAGAGAGAGAGAGAGAGAGAGAGAAGAGAGAGAGAGAGAGAGAGAGAGAGAGAGAGAGAGAGAGGAGAGAGAGAGAGAGAGAGAGAGAGAATTCTGCTATTGTTCGTAGAATTCTGAAACGTTGATTAATTGTTCTATTTACCTTTTTTATTTTATTTTTATTTATTTATCTATTTATATTTTTACTTTTTATGTATGCATGTATGTATATGTATGATGATTGGAAATGCTTTGGCAATACATTGAAACAATTGTCATGCCAATAAAGCACATTTGAATTGAAATAAATTGAGAGGAGGGGAGGGGGGGGGGGAGGGGAGGGGAGGGGGGGGGGGGGGGCGAGAGAGAGAGTGAGAGAGAAGGAGAGAGAGGGGGGGGGAGTGCGGGGAGAGAGTGAGAGAGAGAGAGAGAGAGAGAGAGAGAGAGAGAGAGAGAGAGAGAGAGAGAGAGAGAGAGAGAGAGAAGGGGACAAGTGAGAGTAAGAGAGAGAGAGAGAGAGAGAGAGAGAGAGAGAGAGAGAGAGAGAGAGAGAAGGGGACAGAGAGAGAGAGAGAGAGAGAGAGAGAGAGAGAGAGAGAGAGAGAGAGAGAAGGGGACAGAGAGAGAGAGAGAGAGAGAGAGAGAGAGAGAGAGAGAGAGAGAGAGAGAGAGAGAGAGAGAGAGAAGGGGACAGAGAGAGAGAGAGAGAGAGAGAGAGAGAGAGAGAGAAAGTCCCTCACGCACTGCACGTAGCAGGATCATGAAAACACAGCTTCCTCTGGCTTCAGGCCAACAGCATCCGGGGTTCACAGTTCATCTGTGTGTTCCTCTCACACACGAGGTGGAGGTTTGGTAGCCTCTGATCGAGTCTTCCGAGAGGTTAACGCACGACATGTTGTGACGCTCAGGAAAGGATTGCCGGGGTCCAGCCTTCAGACCTCCTGCAGTGTGTGTGTGTGTGTGTGTGTCTGTGACTGAATCTGTCCTGTAGAAACTGTGCCCAATCCAAAGATAGATAGGCCTGTGCAATTACTTGTTGTACTTTTTATATTTGAGCAAAATTATTTCCCTTTGCATAATCACCTAAATAATTAAAATCTTAAAATAAAACATGTATTTGTCAAACTGTTTAACATTTAAGTATTTTTACTTTGTGGTAGTATTTAAAAACTTAGATTTATTGAGTGTTTTTAAGTTATATTTTGGGGTTTTATATTTTTATAGAATATTTATTGAATTTTGTTTTTTAATAAAAAAATGTAAAAGTGTATTTTTAATCATTTAAAAATCAATAAACTAATTAAATTATCAAAATTGTAAAGTATTTTTACATTTTGGTAGTATTTGTACAGGCTGTCTTAAATATTTGTATTAATTTGTTTTGTTTTTAATTCACCCAAATAATCGAAAAGTAAAAAAGTAAGGAATTTTTTTTAAGTACTTTCTAAGTCCGGTTTGTAATAGTGAGATCAGCTGATAACATGTTAAAAGCCAAGAGTTAAAAAAAAAATTTGTTAAGAAGCAAGTCTTGTGTTTTTACTCAAGCAAATCTGATCAAACGCCTTCATGAGTTCTCAAGAAAAGTGTTTTATTAATGTTCACTCAATCTTAAATCCTTCCATATTGTAAACAAGGGACATAAGAGCAGAAGTGAAGGAAACTGAGATGGATGTTTTCATTCTGCAGGACTGGGATGTTTGTTGCTATAATAGTATGTGTAGAATGTGGAAAAACTTGCGTCATTTCTGTTGTGAGACTTTGACGAGGCTGATTTGGGCTGAAAACATCCCTCTCAACACGTTCACATCATCACATCTGTCCCAGTGTTTGAACATCACTCCATATGACCATCCGACACGTGTGTGTGATAAGAAGCTTTGCTTTTGACCTAAACCACTTCATCTGAAGTCCACATCTTAAAGGGATAGTTCACCCAAAAATGAAAATTCACCCATGATTTACTCACCCTGAAGCCATCCTAGGTGTGTATGACTTTCTTCTTTCAGACGAATACAAACAGAGTTATATTAAAACATGTCCTGGCTCTTCCAAGGTTTATAATGGCAGTGAATGGCTGTTTAGAAGTCCATCAAAGTGACTCTATCCATCGTAAAAGTGCATTTATATAATAACTAGCTTTCGGCCAAACGAACATACGGATTCCATTTACGCCTAAAGAATGTCAGATGTCAGAAGTAGTGTAGTGCGTCCTGGCGTAGCGTAAATATCAGCAATACTCAAGTTGTGCTTAGACTTAAGATAAATTTACTTTTATGATGGATATATGTACTTTTATGATGGATAGATGCACTTTTATGATTGATAGATGTACTTTTATGATGGAAAGATTCACTTTTATGATGGATAGATGCACTTTTATGATGGATAGATGCACTTTTATGATGGATAGATGCACTTTTATGATGGAAAGATTCACTTTTATGATGGATAGATGCACTTTTATGATGGAAAGATTCACTTTTATGATGGAAAGATTCACTTTTAACGATGGATAAATGCACTTTTATGATGGATAGATGCCTTTTTTTATGATAGATGTACTTTTATGATGGATAAATGCACTTTTATGATTGATAGATGCACTTTTATGATGGATAAATGCACTTTTATGATGGATAGATGCACTTTTATGATGGATAGATGCACTTTTATGATGGATAAATGCACTTTTATGATGGATAAATGCACTTTTATGATGGATAGATGCACTTTTATGATGGATAATGCACTTTTATGATGGATAGATGCACTTTTATCATGGATGGATGCACTTTTATGATGGATAGATGCACTTTCATGATGGATGGATGCACTTTAATGATGGATAGATGCACTTTTATGATGGATAAATACACTTTTATGATGGATAGATGCACTTTTATGATGGATGGATGCACTTTGATGGACTTAAAAAAGAAACAGCAATTCACTGCCATTATAAAGCTTGGAAGAGCCAGGACATTTTTTAATATAACTCTGATTGTATTCGCCTGAAAGAAGAAAGTCTTAAACACCTAGGATGACTTGAGGGTGAGTAAATCATGTGGGCTAATTTTTTGGGTGAACTATCCCTTTAAGAGTTTGTTTCATTAGGGGTGCACAATCTATTGTAACTATTTTCATTAATCTTGCATTTATAATATTTTATTTGCTTGCATATCAAAATTCTGACTATTTTCTCTGTTTTGTTGACAGGCAATGGTGGCGTGTTACCCGGCTAAAGGCACTGGATATGTGCGCCATGTGGACAACCCGAATGGCGATGGGAGATGCGTCACATGCATATATTACCTTAATAAGAATTGGGATGCCAAGGTAAGTGAATCATCTGTAATTCATTGCATCCTATTCTTTTTTTTTTTTATGATACATAAAATTTAACAAAAAAAGATACAAAAGGAATACATTGATAGAGCGGGTTACAATTCAGATAACAATAATCAAAACAGAGAAAAATAATAATAATAATAATAATTCGAAAATAATATATACCGGTATGTGTTCATCCATCCCAATACCATTGCATCCTATTCTGAAGTTTGATATGAAAGATTGTCTGGCTTTGCCATGTTTAAAGCATGCTTTATCTGTAAAAGCGCTATAGAAAGTTGTCATGACTCTGACAGTCGGCATGAATGGCGAGCGACTGCATACGTGCCAGTAGGCCTGCTTCATTTCGGCCTAATCCCATTAACCTCAGAGATTGTAATCTCCAGAGAAAACCAGGAGGAGAGTTACTGAGTCAGGGAAATGAGCCACGAGACGCATTACACTGGAAAACGACTCGCGCAATTAATGCATTATACCTTTTAAATATGTTTTTTAAAGATTGCATAAATGTCCTGTCGCACAATGTTTTTGTATACCATGCTCGTTGACTACAGTTCTATTTCATACATTAAATCCACCATATTTACCTTTAGTTGCCTGGTTTTGACTCTAACCTGCTGCCTTGGTCCTGTTTTCCTCAGATGGTCTTTTTCAACAATAGATTTTCAGAAAGTACACATTATGTTGCATAGCAAAGATAATACTTATAGTTAGTTGCTCCTATACACCTACAGATATTATGGATCTTGAATTTGCTTTAAGATATTTTTTTCCCCTTCTCTTCTAAATTATATATACTCATTTCCAATTTATGTAGGCTAATTTAATAAGTTAATATTTTATTTGTGAAATACTTACATACGTATTTATATTTATATATATATATAATATATGTGAGTGTGTGTTGTGTATACAAATCAAAAATGTTATTTTATTTATTTATTTATTTATTTATATATACAGTATCTCACAAAAGTGAGTACACCCCTCACATTTCAGCAAAAATTTTAGTATATCTACTCAAGGGACAATACTATAGAAATGAAACTTGGATATATATACAGTAGTCAATGTGCTGCTTGTATAGCCGTGTATATTTACTGTCCTCTGAAAATAACTCAACATACAGCCATTATTGTCAAAATAACTGTCAACAAAAGTGAGTTCACAGTGATAAGAGCTGTATGTTGTTTAACCATGCAAAGCCACATGTCCTGTTCATCATGTTCATGTTTTTGTCAGCTTGACATGACCATACAAATGTGTGTCTCTTGTATTAGAGCAGTTAAAATGTGTGCTTTGAGTACAATTCTCTCATACTGACCACTGGATGTTCAACATGGCACCTCATGACAAATAACTCTCTAAGGGTTTGAGAATTAGATTTGTTGCTCTCCACAAAGTTGACCTAGGCTATAAGAAGATTGGTAACCCACTGAAACTGAGTGACAGTACAGGACAGGGTCACACAGAGGCTTTCCAAGACGGGTTGCACTCGTAACAGGCCTCGCAAGGGTCAAGTCGAGTCCTCGTGCTGTGCGTCAGGTGCAGACGCTGGCCTCAAAACACAGACGCATGGTCATGCCAGCATTGCTTTAGAGGTTGCAGAAGCGGAAGGTCAGCTTGTCAGTAACAAGTTGGTTTGAACAAGTCGGCTCACAAGAAAGCCCGCAAACAGTTTGCTGAAAGCGACCTGTCCAAGGGCATGAATTACTGGAATCTTGTCCTGTGATAAAGATAAACTGGTTTGGCTCAGATGGTGTCCAGCATGTGTGGCGATGCCCTGGTGAGGAATACCAAGAAGATTGTGTCTTGAGTCGAGCATGGTGGTGTTCACATCATGGTCTGGGGCCGCATGAGTCAAGTCATCTTCATTTATATAGCGCTTTTAATGTAGATTGTTCCAAAGCTGCTTTACAGTGATAATAGGAAATTAAAGTAACAGAGATTGTTTTTGGCTTTATGACAGCTCTAGAATAATTTATTTTCCAGCTAAAGTTAGTTTTAATTGATTCACTTCCGACGCAATGATCATTAGTTATTATAGGGGCCGCTAACACGACACCCTTTTAACAGAAAACCCTTAAGTTCACTCTACGCAAACTTTAAAAACGCAAACCTGTGAGAACGCTGAACATGCGTATTAAGAGTTCATTCTATAGGTGTGTGTGTTTGAATATATGTGCGCAGGCATGTAGTCCTTCCCTAAAAAAACAACAACCCTCAACAAACTACTTGTCTGGCCTTAAAATGTATAATACAGTATTGTATTACTTCGGCGTAGCCACGCGAACCGGAATTATCCTGACAACGATTATCTGTAGAGAGGTAAAGGGAAGGAGGCCTTCACAGGGAGAGTGACACTTCAGGACTGCGTTGTCGTCGCGTCCAGACGCACGTCCTTCATCAGATCTGGATACGGCCTGGATCCGGCGGACTGTGGTAAACCTCGGGATAAACAGAGACTATGGCTCAATCCCAATTCACCACTTGCGCCTATTCTTGTCCCGATTCTTGTTGAGATGGAGGGGTAGGGCTACATAGCCCTCGAAACGGAGATTTTTCAGAGGCACACTCCAAAACGGAGGGCTACGAGAAAGTACACAGAATGCATCGCGAATCACCGGCGAGATGGCTTCGCAAACGGTTAAACATTTAAATTTAGCGCCAGATGACACCACCATGCACTTTATTTACTCTTATAATAATAATATAGTCATTTAAATTAAGACATTGTATAATAAATTACCTTTCCAAAACAGAAAAGACATACATTTCGAGGGAGGAATGTTATAATCATCATATTTCCTCAAAGTTTTACATGGAGAAATCCTGTAAAAACTCCGTAACGGCAGAGCCATCGCCGACGACTGATGACGTATCGGGTTCATGAAGGGTTGTTCCATTTCGTAGGGGAATATTTCAACCCCTCGGCCCTTGTAACTCTGTTTTAAGGGCCAAGGGGTACACTCGAAAACAAGGGGTAGGGGCAAGGGGTGAATTGGGATTGAGCCCAAGAGTGCTGCTGGTACTGGGAGCTGCTCTTCATTGAGGAAAACATGGATTGCAACAAGTACTGTGACATTCTGAAGCAGAATATGATGCCCTCCCTTCAGAAACTGTGCCGAACGCCAAGATGACGACTGCCTTGCTGAGGAAGCTGAAGCTGATGGAGTGGCCAAGTATGTCTCCAGACCTGAACCCTATTGAGCATCTATGGTGATCCTCAAGCAAAAGGTGGAGAACACCATGGGCTCTATATTGCACCCAGCCCAGCGCAATTGACCGACGCATGTATCATTCGTATTTTGCACCCGTGCAAAGCGGGCTTTTCCCTCCACAGACGCACGCCGGCAAACTAGGGAATGAACTTGCGCTCCCTGGGCGGGAGGAGGCGTGTTCCGGCGCAAACATTCCCTGGTGCTATTTTGCAATTCCAGAAAACAATCGCGCCACTGACCAGAAAAAAAGCTAGTCTAAAGTCAGTGGCGCGTTGCGCGTACATTCAGATGCTATTTTAAGCGCGCATGCTTGGCCATAATAAAGAGTGTGAACAACGTGCATACACTGTAGATGATTCTCTCATCTACACAGATGCATTTTACTTTTTGCAAATGATACATTATTATAAGGAAAAATATTAAAACACGAGGGAAATCATTGTTGTGTCTATGACGATGGGAAAAATAGGCATAAAGCTTACACATTTACCCAAATTATTATATACATGTTTAACCGAAGCTAATTTGGGTGGGTTTGTCCCATACCCCAATGTCACTTCTCTTTCTTTTACGGCCCTGACGAGAACATCGATCTCCTCGGCTGAGAACCGATTCTGAAGCGCGCCTGGTAAATGCGCCGTTATAATAGTATTGCGCCATGGAACAAGCGCACCTCGTTCATCATGCTCTTAAAGGGAATGTGAGATGACGCTCTTATTGGTTTGTTTCCCGTTTTGCGTCGAGCGCAAGAGTCATTTATCCCGCCGGTTAAATAGCAACAGCGCCGAGATCCGCCCACAAAGTTACTTGCGCTTTGCGCTTGACACTTGCGTTTTAGATCGTTAAAATAGGGCCCCATGTGTCTAACATTCAGCAGCGCCGAGATGCCAGGATGGAGGAGTGGAAGAGGATCCCAGCAACAACCTGTGCGTCTCTGGTGAACTCCATGCCCAGGAGGATTAAGGCAGTGCTAGATAACACTGGCGCTCACACTGTGGACACAGCTTTGACATGTTCACTTAGGGTGTACTCACTTTTGTTGCCAGCTATTTTGTCAATAATGGCTGTATGTTGAGTTATTTTCAGAGGACAGTAAATATATACGGCTATACAAGCAGCACATTGACTACTCTAAAATATATCCAAGTTTCATTTCTATAGTATTGTCCCTTGAGAAGATGTACTAAAATGTTTGCTGAAATGTGAGGGGTCGGTGTACTCACTTTTGTGAGATACTGTATATATAAATACAGGTGAAACTCAAAAAAAATGTAATATCGTGCAAAAGTTAATTTATTTCAGTAATTCAACTTAAAAGGTGAAACTAATATATTATATAGACTCATTACATGCAAAGTGAGATATTTCAAGCCTTTATTTGTTTTATGAAAATACAAAATTAGAATATTGTGAAAAGGTTTTCATAAGCCATAATCATCAAAATTATAACAAATAAAGGCTTGAAATATCTCACTTTGCATGTAATGAGTCTATATAATATAGTAGTTTCACCTTTTAAGTTGAATTACTGAAATAAATGAACGTTTGCACGATATTCTACTTTGTGTATATATACACTCATCCTCCTGTAATGGTTTAAGTTGACAAACCAAATTTGATTGTAACATTAACTCTCCAATTAAGAATTATGCAACATTTTGTAATTTTTTTAAAACAATATTATTATGTGACATATTTGAATGATGCAATATCAGAAAAATAATTGAAATAACAAGCATTTATACATTTAAAAAAATATATACATATTACTTTTTTTTTTTAAATACGAGGATATTGCATATGCTTTTTGGATGCTGCTTTACAGTCAGATCATTTTTGCTTGTTGGCAGATACAAGATATATGTTGCGATCATAGTGATTACTGATGGTGTATTCAGATAGTAAACTGTTTTTAAAGCACCATACACTGTAAAAAGTGGTAACCTGCAACTGTTACCTAAAAGTGAGTACATTTCTACCAGATTTAACCTATAAAAATGAATTTTGCTGGTATAGATTAATTTCTGTCATGACAACTCATTGGATGACAGCTAATTGGATATGACATTCGCCCCTTTCACACATACAGTCTTTACTGGTAAATTACCAGTAACAGATCATGTGTGAACAGGACCTTTTCAAATATACTGGTAAATTTTAACGGAAAAGTTGTAACATTACCAGTAAATTACCGGTATTTACTAATACGTTAATAAAATCTTGTTAACATTAGTTAATGCACTGTGAACTAACATGAACAAACAATGAACAGCTGTATTTTATTAACTAACATTAACAAAGATTAATAAATACAGTAACAAATGAATCGCTCATGGTTAGTTCATGTTAATACATTAACTAGTGGACCTTATTGTAAAGTGTTACCAAAAGAGTGTTAAACTGTAGTGTATGTTGGTTCAGTGATGTATGTTAGATAATGTTTTTGACTTGAATAAAACCAGTTCATTTACGGTAGATGTTACCACTTTTTTTCAGTGTATAGGAAAAAAATAGCTGACATCACAGCATTTTAAAGTGTACTTCCCTGATGATGTTGCACTTTTATTTTTTATTTTATTTTTTATTCGCATGCATGTGCTCAGCTCCTTAGAGAGAGAGAGCAGTGTGTGTGTGTGAGCAGCGTGCCGTTCGTGTGAAAGCTTCATATTCTCGCACCCTCGGCGTACGGGTCTTTATCCAGCATGTGCTCTCTTCCTCTCATCCCTGTTCAGGAAGGCCTCGCGCCGCTGTTTCCTATCCTAGCCTCCTCCAGACATGGCCTCTCATTGTTTGTGTCGCTCTGTTATTTTCACTAATGGAATTTATCATTATCACTAAAAAAGCTCCAGTCACGCACTGCTGAGTCGACTGTATTGTCAGCATGATTTCATGTGAGTTTATGATTCATAACGGCATCAGAGTCAAATCACATTTATATGAAAAGGGGTGATTTATTGTTTCAGAGGGAACATTTTACAATAAGGTCTCATTTGTTAACATTAGTTGTGCAAACACCCACTCAGAACACCCTAGCAAACGCCTAGTAGCAACCATCCAGAAAACAATAGCAACTGGATAGTAACACCCTAGCAACCACTTAGAATACCATAGTAACCACAGAGCAACACACTAGCAACTGCATAGTCAAACTTTTTGGTCAGGCTTTCTTAAACCTTAATACAGTTAGTTGAGATTGTATTTTTTAACCACACAGAACACCCTACCAAACGCCTAGCAACCATCCAGAAAACCATAGCAACAGCATAGTAACACCCTAGCAATCATCTATCTTCAAGCTCTTAAAACTAACTCCAACTTTCTGGTCAGGCTTTCTTAAACCAAAATACAGTTAGTTGAGATAGTATTTTTTAACCACACAGAACACCCTAGCAAACGCCTAGCAACCATCCAGAACGCCCTAGCAAACGCCTAGCAACCATCCAGAACAGCCTAGCAAACGCCTAGCAACCATCCAGAACGCCCTAGCAAACGCCTAGCAACCATCCAGAACGCCCTAGCAAACGCCTAGCAACCATCCAGAACAGCCCAGCAAACGCCTAGCAACCATCCAGAAAACAATAGCAACACGCTTGCAACTGCATAGTAACACCCTAGCAATCATCTATCTTCAAGCTTTTAAAACTAACTCAAACTTTCTGGTCAGGCTTTCTTAAACCTTAATACAGTAAGTTGAGATAGTATTTTTTAACCACACAGAACACCCTAGCAAACGCCTAGCAACCATCCAAAAAACCATAGCAACTGAATAGCAACACTGTAGCAACCACCTAAAATACCATAGTAACCACAGAGCAACACCATAGCAACAGCATAGTAACACCCTAGCAGTCATCTATCTTCAAGCTCTTACAAACGAACTCAAACTTTCTGGTCAGGCTTTCTCGAGCCGAAATACAGTTATTTGAGATTATATTTTTTATGTACCTTTTGTCTAATACTAAAGCTCATAAGTGATTGATCTTATTCTGTGTCTTTAGGATCACGGAGGCATACTGCGGATATTTCCAGAGGGTAAAGCTCAGTTTGCGGACATCGAACCCAAATTTGACCGCTTGCTTTTATTCTGGTCCGACAGACGAAACCCTCACGAGGTCCAGCCGGCGTACGCTACAAGGTACATGCACAAACACACACACACACACACACATCATGCATTTTCACATATCATGCATTTTTCCCCTTAATAACTCATAAACTTCTCCTGTGTTTATAGATATGCCATTACCGTGTGGTATTTTGATGCTGATGAGCGGGCGAGAGCTAAAGAGAAGTACCTAACAGGTCATTTCACCCCAAAATATAAAACTGTCATTATTCGCTCACCCTGAAGTCGTTCCAAACCTGTATGCTGTTATTAAAGAGGATGTTTGAGCAGCAAATCTTTTAAATATAACAACAGTTCCAAGAAGAACCATATCGTTTTTGTAAAATTAGTCTTCTGAAGTCGTATGATAGATTTGTGTGAGGAACAGACTGCTCTCCGCCTTCAAATCTTGTTCTCTATCCTGAATATTCAAACTGAGAACATGATTTGATGTGAAAATCTAAATTGTTTTTCATGGTATTAATGCTCTTCGGTAATTTTTTACTGAAAAATTCAACTTTTTTTGTATTTTTTACTTTATCAGAATGGTATGAAACTTGGTAAAGGCTTTGGCACTTGCTGTTTGATCACACACACACACAAATCATGGTCATGATTCAAAAAGGTTAAATATTCCTGAAAAAAATAGTCACACTTGTACGGAAGCGTATTGCATTCACTTGAGGAAAAAAAATCTGCTCTGTTTTTCTGAATTAACGAGTTAATTATCTCAGAATTACGAGATAATTTTTCATGGAAAAAAAGTTCTTGCTCTGTTTTTCTGAATTAACGAGTTAATTATCTCCGAATTAGGAGATAATTTTTCATGGAAACAAGTTTTTGCTCTGTTTTTCTGAATTAACGAGTTATCTCAGAATTAGGAGATAATTTTTCATGGAAAAAAGTTTTTGCTCTGTTTTTCTGAATTAACGAGTTAATTATCTCCGAATTAGGAGATAATTTTTCATGGAAACAAGTTTTTGCTCTGTTTTTCTGAATTAACGAGTTATCTCAGAATTAGGAGATAATTTTTCATGGAAAAAAGTTTTTGCTCTGTTTTTCTGAATTAACGAGTTAATTATCTCAGAATTACGAGATAATTTTTCATGGAAAAAAAGTTCTTGCTCTGTTTTTCTGAATTAACGAGTTAATTATCTCAGAATTACGAGATCATTTTTCATGGAAAAAAAGTTCTTGCTCTGTTTTTCTGAATTAACGAGTTAATTATCTCAGAATTACGAGATCATTTTTCATGGAAAAAAGTTTTGCTCTGTTTTTCTGAATTAACGAGTTAATTATCTCAGAATTAGGAGCTAATTTTTCATGGAAAAAAGTTCTTGCTCTGTTTTTCTGAATTAACGAGTTAATTATCTCAGAATTACGAGATAATTTTTCATGGAAAAAAAGTTCTTGCTCTGTTTTTCTGAATTAACGAGTTAATTATCTCAGAATTAGGAGATAATTTTTCATGGAAAAAAGTTTTTGCTCTGTTTTTCTGAATTAATGACTTAATTATCTCAAAATTATGAGTAACTCATTAATTGATAAAAACAGAGTGAAAAAAATGTTTTTCAAGAAAAATGTATGTCATAATTCTGAGATAATTAACTCGTTAATTCAGAAAAACAGAGCAAAAACTTTGTTTTCATGAAAAATTATCTCGTAATTCTGAGATAATTAACTCGTTAATTCAGAAAAACAGAGCAAGAACTTTTTTCCATGAAAAATGATCTCGTAATTCTGAGATAATTAACTCGTTAATCCAGAAAAACAGAGTCGATTTTTTTTCTTCAAGTGAATGCAATACGCTTCCGTACACTTGTATTGTTCACGGTCAAAAATAAGCGCATTTCATCTAGTGGAAGCGTTTGGTACTGCGGCCGAACACAATCTGACTGAAAGCTCACTTTTTTGAGATATCAACCTCAAATTTGGAAGAAAACTCGTTTAGGTTTATGGCTTTGATTTTCTCGCAGTTTTAGAGTCTCCTAAAACATGTTTTGGAAAATGTTTTTCACTTCAGCAATAATCTGTCAAGTGTCGTCTTTAAAAAGAGACCAAACTTCAGTCTGTGATCCAAAGCATTCAAGAATTAGGACAATTTAAGTTGTAAATTTCATTTTCAGGTCTATTCTCAAACAGTGAATAAATGGATTATAACTACTGCATAAATATCATTTAGTACCATAAAATCCACTAAAAATACAAAATATTAAATAAAAAGATTATAGCATGACCATATTCTACATCCCTTAATCAGCCAATATCTAAACTTAACAACTACCTTACCAGTACTAACTATTAATGAGCAGTAATTAAGAGTTTATTGAGATAAAAGTCCTAGTTAATAGTGAGAATTGGACCCTAATCTAAAGTGTGACCAAAAATGTTTTCAGTAAATTTTTTTGAATGAATGAATCAGTTGTTTTATTTGCAATAATAATGCAATGAAACATGCCAAAGTGTGCCAATATCATTTTTGGCCAGGCTGTCAATCAAAGAAATTATGAACACATGCAACAACAAGAGAAAACCAACGAAATATTAATATCTGATTATGTTGTAGTCAATGTATGCTTTTTCCTGTGAGCTTTTTTTTTAATCTACATTATTTTATTATTTTTCTTCTTATTATTATTATTTTTGCACATAGTAAAATAAAACTTGTAGCTCTTCATGGCCTCTTTGCCAAATAATTTCGTCAGATAAATACCTTAACCAAGTTTAGTGTTTTGTTCTTCCCTCATTTAAAATAATTTGCTCATATTTTGATGGCTTAATCAAACTTGTAGAGTCATTAAAAACAAATGTTCCCTCCGGACGTCACTTTTAGCCACGGCTGTGTGTTATTTGAGAGCTTTGAGGATAGAAGATTATCAGGAAATAATGACTTATTTAGTTTGAAGTTAAAATAGAAATTGTGGGTAAATGTAAAGGGTAAATTCTTTCCTCCTGGTTTTCTTGTTGTAAAGGTGCTGGAGAAAAAGGAGTGAAGGTGGAGCTAAACAAGCCGTCTGAACCGAGCTAATCAAAGTAGCATTAATCCGGACTTTTCCTGGTTACACACGGCGTGGAAAAAGAAGAAGAGGGATTCGGAAAAGGCAGCGGGTGTCCGTGACGAAGCAAGAGAAGGAGAGGAGGATTGAATTAATAGAGATTTAAAACTCTGCAGAATTCAACCCCAGTTCCTGGAAAACCAGCTAACTTTGAATATGACGGTTTAATTTGACTTTTAATAAGGTACAGTGCTCTGGATTTCATTCTCATGTGACTGGAGTCACAGCGCTTCGGAGGAAGGCTTCAAATGTTCAAAGGAGAAATTTTGTATTATTTTTTTTTGCTTTTGGATCTGGGACGAGTTTCTGCATTTCGACCTGATCTTCATAAATCAAGTTGCACATCTATGCATGTTACTTCTCATCTCCACTGGTCAGAGTGTCCGTTCGTACTGAAATGCACCCGATGCCAGCGAGGTAGTGGACCTTCGGCATGTTTATACTGGCAGATGCATCATGGGAATGTCATCTGCAATCCTAACTTTGTTACATGCACAGGGTCATGGGTTTAAATTCATCAAAATAAAAGTTTGCATTTTACACATTGTTGCATTTGTAAATATTCTCAAATATATGCTTATTTTTCACGTAAATATGTGATATTTCTCCATCTGCTGCTGTACAATAACAGGTATTACTGATCAAAATACAAAATGGTCAATTCAGATCAAAATCAACAAAGTGGGTGTTTTAAATATGGAATGACAGAATATTAACTGGACTGATTTTTGTAACCGCCTTTAGATTTTAACATGACGTACACAAAAAAACGTGAGATTCACTGAGACTTTGTGTGTCTCATCTGATCTCGGCTCTTTTACGGGTCTTTAGGGAAATCAGGAACAACGGATGGAAAGGGCTAAACCATGCCGCCTTGTGGCAAATACAGTATGTACATTCATAAATCAGGTGAGAAAAACTACAGCCATGGTCAAATACCCCGTCATAACAGATATCTAGGGTTTAATTTGTATTTTTAGTTATAAAAGATTAAAGTAAGTAATTTAAGAATTCTTAAACAGTAATATTCAGGTAAAAATATTACATGAATAAAGTAATCAATTGTAAAATAAATCATTCCATCACAAAATAATTTATTTTCTTTTTTTACAATTCAGATTAATGAGCTCTGCCAGGAAAAACACTGAGTAATTTATCTATTATATTTCGATACAGAGAGTTTCATGATAAAACAGAAATAATCTTGGACAGTATTATTACATTAAAATTTAGGCTATTCATTTACCAATTGTTTCCATAATTATCCATAATAAACCATAGTTATCAATATGGTTACTTAGACATCAGTAAATACAGATTTAGTTTAAGTGAAACAATAGAAGCTTTTTATAGAAGTCTCGTTTTCATCCCGGTTAAATCCAGATGGCATATCTTTAGACGTGGTGTAAAACAAAACTGTATATTTATGTAAAAATCCCAGTCACATTTGCAGAGATAATTATCAGTTGTCTTACACTATACAGTGAGCTTATATTTGGCAGTATTTTACTGAATCTCTGAGGTTTCACTGTATCTGTGTATTGACTGAGTAAAAGCCCAGGATAGAGAGGTTGAGTGAATGTAGCGTGGACTCATTGTGTCCGAGACGCTGTAGAAGAGCAGAATCCCTGCACTGTGATCCACATATACTTCACAAAAAAATGTGAATATCGTGCAAAAGTTCATTTATTTCAGTAATTCAACTTAAAGGTGAAACTAATATATTATATAGACTCATTACATGCAAAGTGAGATATTTCAAGCCTTTATTTGTTAGAATTGTGATGATTATGGCTTACAGCGTATGGAAACCTTTTCACAATATTCTAATTTTGAATTTGGGGTTTTCATAAGCTAAACCATAATCATCAAAATTATAACAAATAAAGGCTTGAAATATCTCACTTTGCATGTAATGAGTCTATATAATATATTAGTTTCACCTTTTAAGTTGAATTACTGAAATGTGAAGTGACGGAAAGCTAAAGAACAAATGCATGCACTTTTGTCTTTTAATAAACTGTGTATATTATCCAATTGGTTTTTATGGAAGCTTGTTTCCGCCACAGAATAAAGCATTTTAAAAGATAATTGCGACTTTTTATCTCACAATTGCTGACTTTATTTCTTAGAATTGCGAGATATAAAGTCAGAATTACGTGATATAAAGTAACAATTACGTGTTGTAAAGTCAGATTTGCAAGATATAGTCAGAATTGCGAGATGTAAAAAGTAAGAATTGTGAGATAATTTGTTTTTATTCTGTGTCGGAAACAAGCTTCCATATATAGATTTTTATAATGTATTTGAATTCACAAAAAAAGTTCTCAACTTTTAGGAGTTAGTAAACTAAAAAAAAAAAAGTCCATGCAAAAAAGAAACTGAGTTTTTTTACAGTATACAAAGTGAACTTATTTACATCCACACAGCAACATAGTGCCGGCCCAGATCCGGCCCGAATCTGATACGCATGGAATCCACATGTGCCGGATGTGGCTTGGGTCTGGGCCTACACTATGTTGCTGTCTGGGATCTTCTTAATAGGTTTAGATCAGGACTTGACAATAAAATTTGTGCTGGTTTGGGGTCAGTTCGGCAGATTTCAGAAATCGACATTTTATAGGCTAATTGGTTATTAAACAAAACTCAAGTGTGCATGTACTCAATAAAATCAGTCATCGTGATGTTACTAAACACACAGGCCCATGCAGAGCAGGCTGGCATTGGTGCTGACGTCGTCGATGAGCACAGGTGAATATCGTTGGTGTTACAGGGCTTCGGTTTCGGCGTGGGTTTGCACGTATTGCGCATAATTTTACTCTTTTTTTGTGCTCACACCAAAATTTGTGCACATAAAGCCTCCTCTCCTCTGAGTATTCGTGTAAACACAGTCAGTTATGTTTTAAAGGGGCACTTGGCAACTATTTCAACTTAATAAAAGAGTCTCTATCGTCATCACCGGCGGCCATCTTGTCACAGGCAAGCTTTCTGGCGGGCTCTGTGGTGCCTGATGTAAGATGAGTGATCAGCACGAACACAAATACTCTTATCTCGTTGAAATCTTGACGGATTTACCATCGGTTTGGTTTCTTACAAACGTTATTAACGTGGCGATAATTCTGGATGATTATTTATTTACACACTTATTGTTCATAAGTATGCAGTGTCATAACTACATCTCTGACGTTTATAACAAACCAAACCGTTTGAAAATCGGTAGAAAATTGAGCAAGTTATGGTTATTTAAAAAGTACATGCACCATTAAAACACAATGTTACGAGTGAGCGAGCTGCCTGTGACAAGATGGCCGCCAGGTGCGGACGTCGACCTCCATTGGCCAGCAGCGCCGACGAGACATCTAGCCTTTATTATGGATATCTATGTGAGCAGCGGTAGAAAGCGGGAGGAAGGCGAGTGTTTTTTACGATAGTGTTGTGAAATATACACTCACCGGCCACTTTATTAGGTACCCCATGCTAGTAACGGGTTGGACCCCCTTTTGCCTTCAGAACTGCCTCAATTCTTCGTGGCATAGATTCAACAAGGTGCTGGAAGCATTCCTCAGGGAGTTTGGTCCATATTGACATGATGGCATCACACAGTTGCCGCAGATTTGTCGGCTGCACATCCATGATGCGAATCTCCCGTTCCACCACATCCCAAAGATGCTCTATTGGGTTGAGATCTGGTGACTGTGGAGGCCATTTTAGTACAGTGAACTCATTGTCATGTTCAAGAAACCAATTTGAAATGATTAGAGCTTTGTGACATGGTGGAAGTAGCCATCAGAGGATGGGTACATGGTGGCCATAAAGGGATGGACATGGTCAGAAACAATGCTCAGGTAGGCCGTGGCATTTAAACGATGCCCAATTGGCACTAAGGGGCCTAAAGTGTGCCAGGAAAACATCCCCCACACCATTACACCACCACCACCAGCCTGCACAGTGGTAACAAGGCATGATGGTTCCATGTTCTCATTCTGTTTACGCCAAATTCTGACTCTAACATCTGAATGTCTCAACAGAAATCGAGACTCATCAGACCAGGCAACATTTTTCCAGTCTTCAACTGTTCAATTTTGGTGAGCTCTTGCAAATTGTAGCCTCTTTTTCCTATTTGTAGTGGAGATGAGTGGTACCCGGTGGAGTCTTCTGCTGTTGTAGCCCATCCGCCTCAAGGTTGTGCGTGTTGTGGCTTCACAAATGCTTTGCTGCATACCTCGGTTGTAACGAGTGGTTATTTCAGTCACTGTTGCCCTTCTATCAGCTCGAACCAGTCTGGCCATTCTCCTCTGACCTCTGGCATCAACAAGGCATTTCCGCCCACAGAACTGCCGCTCACTGGATGTTTTTTCTTTTTCGGACCATTCTCTGTAAACCCTAGAGATGGTTGTGCGTGAAAATCCCAGTAGATTAGCAGTTTCTGAAATACTCAGACCAGCCCTTCTGGCACCAACAATCATGCCACGTTCAAAGTCACTCAAATCACCTTTCTTCCCCATACTGATGCTCGGTTTGAACTGCAGGAGATTGTCTTGACCATGTCTACATGCCTAAATGCACTGAGTTGCCGCCATGTGATTGGCTGCTTAGAAATTAAGTGTTAACGAGCAGTTGGACAGGTGTACCTAATAAAGTGGCCGGTGAGTGTACGCCGCACAGCTGTAGGGGGAACTTGATTAGAAAACATGCGCCAACAGAAGTGAAAATCAGCGAAGAAATGGCTAGAGTTGCCAAGTTCCCATTTAAGTGAACATAAACAGTTGAGAAAGAAAACGCATGTGTAACAGTATATTGGATCCGTGCGTCAAGTCTTAAAGTGACAGCAGCCTAATAAACCTGCTGCCAAATTATGAGATCATATTAAACAGTATCTTTATGGCAGTTTTCCCCATGGTATTGATGTCCAAATTGTGGCCAGTGAACATGCTGAGTGGCGAGTAACTTTGGAAAAACATTAGCCAGAGTGGCTGCTGGGCAAAAAGCCCTGGTTCAGATTGATAGGTTTCAGAAATTCCCATTAGAGTGGATAAACTTACATCTGAGGTATTCGTCTCTGGTTTCATATTCAGGACCAAGAAAGATCTGAATGTGTTTCACTATGAAAAACAAACAAAACACTTTATGTATTTAATGCTCAGGTCAAGAGAGTACGTCATTAATATTGCATGAACTTGGATAAATGAATGTCACTTGTGCCAGTGATGTTTTGTATCTGATGTCGGGAGTACTGGTTCATTTTGACTCTGAATCTAGATACAGATTTCCCAAAGATATCAAAATCCCAAAGTCATCAAAGATCCAGAGAGAGAGAGGGATTGGAAACTCTACACAGACAAGAAGAAAGAAATTCCTTCATACTAAAACCAATATCCACCTTTTTCCCAACAAGCTGCATTATGGGTTTAGGTATGGCTTAAATGTGGGGTGAGCTATATTTCTAAAACGCTGTTGGACATTGTTGAAATTTGAAATCAACTCAAACAAACA